GTTCCGAGGAACAGTTCTTCTCCAGTCTCGTATACGTAGCGGGCGATGCCTCCTCGTCTCGGTCAGTCCGATGACGTCGTACTTGATCTTCCTGGCTTCTGCCGACGTCACCCTGTCGGTGGTTCCCTCAGGTTCAGGGGAATGAGGCCCATAATTGTTACTGTTTTCGGCGAGAAGAAATTTAACCACGCGTAGCTCGCCAGGCTCTGACGTGGCACCCTCCGCATTGGTACGTTTTTGGAACAGTCCAAAACCGTTCACCCCTACGCCACGATGAGGCTGCGGATAGGATTTGTAATGCTAAGTTCAGGTTATCATTACGGAACGCGAAGTCGTTGAGAACTAGGGTTCCCGTTCTCCACGAATTTTATGCTAACATTTGAATGTTTCGCTAATGTGTTCTATATGTTCTGATAGCCAATTTCGTGCTCTATAACACTGCGTTGCAGTTATTTTGAAAATCCGTTTGATGAACCTTGTTTTCAGGTGGATAATATGGAATGTCAGGTCGATAAGCATCAGCACTTCAGACATCTCCTCCTTTTCGCATTCAACAGAGGTATCAGAGCTGCTGATGCTGCTCGGGAAATTCGCTAAGAGCTGTCCTAACACTAATCTGTTACTCTAAGCCTTACTCAAACCATGGCGATTCTATTGAGCTGCTCTAGGAGCTTTGAAGCTTCAGTGGACAGCGGTTGAGAGAGGAAGTCGGGAACTCTAATTCTCATCGACCTCACGTTCCGTAAAGATAACCTGAACTTAACAGAAAAAACAGCTCCGGAGAACTGATTTTTATGTTATGTTATAGAGCACGAAATTTGCTATCAGAACATGCAAAACATATCAGCGAAACATTCAAATATTAGCATAAAATTTCAGGTGGAACAGACGTGAGCTGCCCAATATCGGCGAGGTGAAGGTTGGTAACTTCAAAATTCTTGAAATTCGTTCCAAAGCGTCCTAGTGAGATTCCCTTGCTGGAACTTCTAGCTCGACCTTTTCCAAATGTATGGAGCAGCTTAAGCGATTTTAGCACTTCGACTATACGTAAAAAAACCAATTCAACCGAAGCCGTTTTGATATTCTAAAACTACGTGAAGTTTCCTATCAGATGATATCAAGCTTGCTAGCAAAACATTTCATCTTTGGAACGAAATTTCCGGTTGAAAAAAAACGAAAGTACTTATGTGCCAACCCAATAGAACAATATTTTGACGGATTCTTCCTACTACCATACTATAAGTTCTATCAGAGGAATTCGAGAGACTCGTGATGCATGACTTTTCGCACCACACTGCAATAGAACACCCCCACTTCAAATGGTGGATGGAAACTAGCATTCCCGCTTGTAAGGGTGCTTTCTCGCCCTCCTTGTCTAGTCCATCGTCCGTGCGTTCGCTATGTCGTCGCTGCTCATACCACAACTCAGAAGTGTCTGGAAGGCTTGACCGCAGTTTCAGCGTTCTATTTTACTTAGTAGTCCACCAACAGGTCAGCTAGTACAAGCTCGTACTTTGATTCGATCATTACCGCGATTTCAAGGCAAATTGCACACTCACTTCCGCGGTTTGGAGTCCTTGCCAGTGGGATTAATGGGTTCGTAGCTGCAGTGGCCTGCCAAATTCGTCGATTAAAATGCTAGGGCAGCGAACCCGAGTGCCGTCTCCATACGTCGTTCGCTGCTGCACGGCCAGTCGCATGGCTAACTGTAGCCAAACGCGCTGGTTGTCTGCGACCTTTCACTTCCACATGTTCTCCACCCCTGATTCCGTGTTCCCGTGGGCACATTGTGGATAAGTCGGGAGAAGTATGCAGACGGCACTAAGGTATCACTTACCTCCAGCTCCGTCCCGTGCGCTTTGGAGCGGAGAAAGTGGTGTGCTAGTGTACCGCTCAGAAGACATTCACTTTGCAAATGGGCAGGACCATCCTCCGAGTTGAATGCACAGTCCCTCTGTTAGAAAGCCCCCTTCAGTATCCATAAAACAACAAGAGAAATGACGTTGTAATGAAAAAGGAATATTAGGTTGTCCGGAAAGTTCTCAGCGTTTTGTGCACCTATTTTTTGTACATTCACTGCTGATTAAAAACTCATTCTGCCTTGCTTCTCAGTAGCACATCCTGTAGAGAATTTCTTGCGCTATCTGATGGTATAATTGCCGTTTCACCATTGCTTGATAAACCCCTTTTTTCAAGATTTTTTCAAGCATGTGAAAAGAGCACTTCGGACGATTTTTTTCTTCGACTATAAATTGGGGCAATCCGCAATCGAAACAGCTCAACAAATTAACCAGGTGTGGGGGCCCAATAGTGCTAGAGAAAGCACTGTGCGGCAATGGCTCAACAAATTTCGTTCTGGAGATTTCAGCCTTGAAGATGAACCTCATAGCGGTCGACCTAAAGCAATATCTGACGA